TGCTTGAACCCAATCATCTACCCGTGCTACAGCCGCGAGTTTAAACAGGTAACAGTTTAAGCTCCGCCTCCTTGTCCTCCTGCAGGTCCAGCTGACTCCTCCTCTCTGCTTCCTGTCCTCAGGCCTTCATCCGAATCCTGCGCTGCCGCTGGAAGAGGAAGCGTCAGGATTGGCAGGCGTACTACAACTACCGTGGCCATCAGGGCTCCAACAACTCGTCCTTCATGGATGGCAGCCAGCAGACGTTGTCCTCCGTCAGCCCAAGTCCGCTCTGCGTCACATCCAGGCTCCGCCCACTGCCGTGGCCGTCTTCCTCCTCCTCAGACAGAGACCTCCTCCCTGGATCGGTGGCGGAGCGAGGACGGCTGAGCCCGCGGCCTACACTGGCTAAAAAAGCCGGGACGGGGCGGAGCATGGGAGTGGGACGAGGGACGTCAATGAACGGGGATGCTTCTGTCTGAGCCGCACAGGAATCTGGAACGCTAGCTGCAGCCTCAGATGTCAACGCCCCTCCCTGCTGTTAACAGGAAGTGGCTTTAAAAACACTGAATGCACAAAACGCTCTTTCTGCCCAGGTGTGACGACCGGACCTGAACATGGGTGGAGCTCCTCACCTGCTACAAACACGATGTTGCGACATGCGGCGGGTTTCTGGCAGTTCACGGCTGTCCACGACACTTAAGACTTCAGCACGAAACCTTTAATGTGAAAATCCAAGCATCCTGCTTCTTTTTTTCATATCAAAACATTAAGATAATAAATCCAAATTTCTCCTAAAACAAAAACTTTGTTTTAATGGAAAAAATGAAAAAAGAAACAGCACAGATGTTAAAAAAGTAAACATTTTATTTATTCACTTATTGACGAGGTATTTATTTTATTCAAATAAATCAAAGTTAAAACATTTAATGCTTATTTAACCCTACTACTTCTTCTTCCTGCTCACAGACCAGCTTAAACGTTCGTTACGCCCCCTGCTGGACTGGACTGAGAATGAGGTTTTTCAGGAAAATAACAAAATAAAATACAAACATGAATATTTTGGTTTCTTAAGGAAATTCTAAAACTTCTTAAGAAAATCTTCTTAAAGCTCTTAACGTAATTTTGTTTCACAATTTATCTTTTGTTTGTTTTTAAAGACTTTTATTCTGAAGGTCTCTTAACTCAAAGTCAAAGTAGTTAGTCATAAAGGGCTCTTATTGTGAAGGTCTGACATCACTGATTAGTTAAAGACTTTTATTGTATAAAGCTGCGCCTGGTGGTCGTCTGAGGAACTGCAGCTAAAAACACTAATACTGAAATATTTATTTTAGAACAAAAAGTGTAAAAAGAAAAAAATCCAAACTTCTTAATTGAAAACAACTTGATTTTTAATCAAAACGTTGAATCTACAATCTTAACACGTTTATTTATGATTATTTGTACTTTATTTATATTTCCATACTTCTGTTGTTGTAATAAGTGACCTCACTGTAAATTAAACTCATTCATCTAATAAATAAAATACTTTTATGGGTTAATTATTATCGATTATCATGTGTTTATTTAACTGCTAATTGATTATTTTTGATGTGTTTCTTTCAAATGGTTTTACATCAAAGCAAAACGTGGTTCGGGCCATTTCATAAAATCCATATGCAATCCGTGTCAGTACAACTCGGCCAATAGCTTGCAGGGAACAGCACAGTGATATTTGCTGATTGGTTAGACCACAACGAAAAACGTGACTTTTCCAGGAAGCTCCGGTGTAACTACAGGGGTCCAACAAAGAATGGCCACGCATCATACTGATGTCTTCGGAAATTTATTTCTCTCTCACTCTTATTGTCTTCAGACACCGTGAAAACTGAAGAAACACAAAGTTTACAACATAAATGTTTTGAGCTTATCAGTCTGTCGCATCTTCAAAAAATAAAAATACAATAACTGAGCCTTACACCGGAGTATCGTTGCACTGGTTTACTGAACCTTTCTTTCAGGGCATGTACAGAACATGAGCATCCATTTTCTACTGCCTCCTACAGGACACACTCTTCTTCCACTTCCTTACACATTAATGTAACACAGAACTAATACTGCCTCTCCTGGCATTACCATTGTAACAACACATTCATTCTGTTTCTTTCAGAAGAATAACAGGAACTTAGGATGTAGGTATCTATGAATAATAACTATTATGTATACTCATATATTTATATAACCACTTATTTCTTGCGATACCACACAGTCTCTCATATCAGTGTCCATAAACAGTCTTGTGCAAGCAGAACAGAAAAATGCAGAATAATGGATATCAAACAAAAATGTCCTCTCATTACCAGTGTGGAACACGTATGCAACATTATACAAACAATATACATGAAACCATACCGTGTGCGCCTCTTGGACCACATGCAGAATAATATTAACGCTGAGGCTGTAGATGCATCGGTAGCCATGTATCCATGCTAGCTCCACAATGCCGTGGTTGTGCTCTCAACCAAACTCTGGTCATGTGACAATTACAAACTTTACAGCACTTTACATATTTAACAAACCCATATTTTGTAATCACATATTTTAGACATGTTTTTTAATTAATGTTACACTTTTATCATCTTATCTTATAAATAAATGAACTAAATTAAGCATGAATCTATCACAGAAACATCAAATAACCAACTTTATTTTAACTGTCTCAGGGACAGTTACATCCGGGAAAAGAACAGCAAAGGATAAAGAATGAGCCTGAAATTGAGAAAAGAGGCGTTTATACTCCTGATGAAACCACAGCGAACTGAAACGGCCAAACACGTTACTGCGCATGCTCTGTCGGACTTGGAAAGGTCCAGCCAATCGCACGTGAGAGGCAGCGGAGTGATATTAGTACGCTTCAAAGTAAAAGAAGAGAAAAGAGCTCAGATATGAATGTTATTTTACTCTTTTACTTAAATAAAAATTCACTGATAAACTGACAAAATATGACACTTCTGTTATTTTAAAGGAGGAAATGCTGCCAGGATAAAATCAACATGATGATCGTTGTGGAATATTGTGGCTCACAAACAACTTTATAATTGCAAATTAATTATATTTGTGCATTTTTGTAATTTGTGCTTTAACATTAACTTCTTAAGTTCATGACTGATGGGAGAAAATAAAAACCACCCCGGATTTCTCCTCAGCACTGTGGTTCACAGACTCAGTCCTGCAGTAACGACTCTTCACCTCGACCAGCACAGTGAGCTGTTTGCTGTGCCCTGTGGGCTTTGTTCGTTTACACCCTTTGTGGGGTTTTTGTTATTATATATTTTTGTGTTTTTATGTGCAGTTGATTTTCTCCATTTGGATGAACATGGTAAAGTACCTTAGGCTGTAAATACTGATGTGTTTGACGTAGTTTACCTTAAAATTGTCATCCATATACAAATAAAATACTTCGTTTTTATTTTGAAAATCACACAACGCAAAAACCAAAGAAACCGCAGTGCTGCTCGTTCCTGATTGGACGATTAGACTTACTCTCAGCCTGACCAATGAGCGAGCAGCAGGTGATTATATAAACGCGTAGTCTCTGCCGGAGTCCATGTTCTCGCGGGAATAGCACGAAGTCAGTTACAAAGATGTCTGGACGCGGAAAGAGCGGAAAAACCAGAGCGAAGGCGAAGTCCCGGTCCTCCCGGGCCGGGCTGCAGTTCCCGGTGGGCCGTGTCCACAGGCTGCTGAGGAAGGGTAACTATGCTCAGCGTGTTGGTGCCGGCGCCCCGGTGTACCTCGCGGCTGTGCTGGAGTATCTGACGGCTGAGATCCTGGAGCTGGCCGGAAACGCCGCCCGCGACAACAAGAAGACCAGGATCATCCCCCGCCACCTGCAGCTGGCCGTCCGCAACGACGAGGAGCTGAACAAGCTGCTGGGCGGAGTGACTATCGCTCAGGGCGGCGTGCTGCCCAACATCCAGGCCGTGCTGCTGCCTAAGAAGACTGAGAAGGCCAAAAGAAGCTCCGGGAGAAGCGCGCTGATAATAACGGCTCTTTTAAGGGCCACACATAACATCTGAGAGCAGTACGACCTTAAATGAACTACGGCGGGTCACAGCCCGGACTCACTGGTCTGACCCGCTCTGGGTAAACGTTTCAACCAAAAGCAGCTGTGACACAAACCCGTGTGTAAGTGTTGAAACCACAGTGAGCCAGCGGAGCGTCTGTAGCTAACGATCAACTCCTGTGACGGCTCATAAAGGACGCCGTCACTGCAAAGGCCAGAAGACCTGCGGCTGTTTGTTCACATATTTATCTCTATTCACAATAATGTTAACACATCAGACTCACCTGTCTCCATGTAGATCCTGTTGTTTCAATCCTGTGCTGTACATTTGACACGGTTATAATCTGAACGTTTGCTTTAAGATGAGCTCATGTTTATTAAAGTATAGATTCCATATAAGGGAAGGACAACAGGATGAAGACACGCTGTGGAAGAGAAAACTATTAATAACCAGGATGATTCAGTACACAGAGGTCTATGAAGACTTAATAGTGAAGAAGAAACACCCACTGCATCATGGGAATGCCCCAGCAGCCTACACCTAGCACCGTGACGGTCTGTGACCTGCAATATTTAGGCTCAGTTAACAGCTACAGCTTGTACACAGGTGTGTTTGCTGTATTCCTGCTCTGCTCTTTAGTTTGGGTAAAGATGCTCTCCTCCTCACTCACGTTCCTTCCACGCATCACTGCATGTACGTGCACCTCTCCACAGGTCTGCGTGGGGCTTTGTTCCACCGCTTGTATCCCATGACTGAAGTGGACACTGACACAGGGACAGTATGCTGGGTCATAGGTCAGTGAGCTTCACCACATGGCTGAAGGTTTGTCTTCCTGTCCCCCTGCAGTGTGAAGGAGCTCAGGTGTGGCAGACCAGCCCTCTGCTCTAGTTTTGGA